TACATAACTATTGCCTCTTGTTACGATACCCGACTGATTATATACAGTCAACATAACTATTGCCTCTTGTTACGATACCACGACTGATTTTATACAGTCAACATAACTATTCCCTCTTGTTTCGATACCACGACTGATTATATACAGTCAAAATAACTATTCCCTCTTGTTACGAAACCACGACTGATTATATACAGTCAACATAACTAGTCCCTCTTGTTACGATACCATGACTGACTACATATAGTCAACATAACTATTCCCTCTTGTAACGATACCACGACTGAATATATACAATCAACATAACTATTCCCTCTTGTTACGATACCACGACTGATTATATACAGTCAAAATAACTATTCCCTCTTGTTACGATACCATGACTGACTACATATAGTCAACATAACTATTCCCTCTTGTAACGATACCACGACTGAATATATACAATCAACATAACTATTCCCCCTTGTTACGATACCACGACTGATTATAAACAGTCAACATAACTATTCCCTCTTGTTACGATACCACCACTGATTATATACAGTCAGTATAACTATTGCCTCTTGTTACGTTACCACGACTGATTATATATACAGTCAACATAACTATTCCCTCTTGTTACGATACCACGACTGATTACATACAGTCAACAAAACTATTGCCTCTTGTTACGATACCACGCCTCTTGTTATGATACCACGACTGATTATATACAGTCAACATAACTATTCCCTCTTTTTACGATACCACGACTGATTATATACAGTCAACATAACTATTCTTGATACGATACCACGACTGATTATATACAGTCAACATAACTATTCCCTCTTTTTACGATACCACGACTGATTATATACAGTCAACATACCTATTCCCTCTTGTTACGATACCACGACTGACTATATACAGTCAACATAACTATTCCCTCTTTTTACGATACCACGACTGATTATTTACAGTCAACATAACTATTCCCTCTTGTTACGATACCACGACTGACTACATACAGTCAACATAACTATTCTCTCTTGCTACGATACCACGACTGATTACATACAGTCAACATAACTACTCCCTCTTGTTACCATTCTGTGTCCCGCTCGAGACTTACCTGGAAAACGATGACGCTAACACCAACAGCGATGAAGATAGTTGTGTACTTCGAGAAGAGTTCGTCTAACTTCGTGAAGCAACCCTTCAGGCAGAAAAGTAATAATCGATATGACAGAATGTTGTATTTAAAGTGGCTCATCCTCATCAGTATGTTGAGGTATTACGTTATAGAATACGTCACAAAGTTGAGATTGCACGTGATGGTGTACGTCACAATATCTATTGAGGTGGTACGTTATTTAATACGTCAATATATACCGAGATGTTAGGTTGTAGAATACATCAGTATGACGAGATTATTGAGATGTTACGTTGTAGAATACGTCAGTACGATGAGATTATTGAGATGTTACGTTATAGAATACGTAAGTATGATGAGATTATTGAGATGTTACGTTATAGAATACGTCAGTATGATGAGATTATTGAGATGTCACGTTATAGAATACGTCAGTACGATGAGATTATTGAAATGTCACGTTGTAGAATACGTCAGTATGATGAGATTATTGAGATGTTACGTTATAGAATACGTCAGTATGATGAGATTATTGAGATGTTACGTTATAGAATACGTCAGTATGATGAGATTATTGAGATGTTACGTTATAGAATACGTCAGTATGATGAGATTATTGAGATGTTACGTTATAGAATACGTCAGTATGATGAGATTATTGAGATGTTACGTTATAGAATACGTCAGTATGATGAGATTATTGAGATGTTACGTTATAGAATACGTCAGTATGATGAGATTATTGAGATGTTACGTTATAGAATACGTCAGTATGATGAGATTATTGAGATGTTACGTTATAGAATACGTCAGTATGATGAGATTATTGAGATGTTACGTTATAGAATACGTCAGTATGATGAGATTATTGAGATGTTACGTTATAGAATACGTCAGTATGATGAGATTATTGAGATGTTACGTTATAGAATACGTCAGTATGATGAGATTATTGAGATGTTACGTTATAGAATACGTCAGTATGATGAGATTATTGAGATGTTACGTTATAGAATACGTCAGTATGATGAGATTATTGAGATGTTACGTTATAGAATACGTCAGTATGATGAGATTATTGAGATGTTACGTTATAGAATACGTCAGTATGATGAGATTATTGAGATGTTACGTTATAGAATACGTCAGTATGATGAGATTATTGAGATGTTACGTTATAGAATACGTCAGTATGATGAGATTATTGAGATGTTACGTTATAGAATACGTCAGTATGATGAGATTATTGAGATGTTACGTTATAGAATACGTCAGTATGATGAGATTATTGAGATGTTACGTTATAGAATACGTCAGTATGATGAGATTATTGAGATGTTACGTTGTAGAATACGTCAGTATGATGAGATTATTGAGATGTTACGTTATAGAATACGTCAGTATGATGAGATTATTGAGATGTTACGTTATAGAATACGTCAGTATGATGAGATTATTGAGATGTTACGTTATAGAATACGTCAGTATGATGAGATTATTGAGATGTTACGTTATAGAATACGTCAGTATGATGAGATTATTGAGATGTTACGTTATAGAATACGTCAGTATGATGAGATTATTGAGATGTTACGTTATAGAATACGTCAGTATGATGAGATTATTGAGATGTTACGTTATAGAATACGTCAGTATGATGAGATTATTGAGATGTTACGTTATAGAATACGTCAGTATGATGAGATTATTGAGATGTTACGTTATAGAATACGTCAGTATGATGAGATTATTGAGATGTTACGTTATAGAATACGTCAGTATGATGAGATTATTGAGATGTTACGTTATAGAATACGTCAGTATGATGAGATTATTGAGATGTTACGTTATAGAATACGTCAGTATGATGAGATTATTGAGATGTTACGTTATAGAATACGTCAGTATGATGAGATTATTGAGATGTTACGTTATAGAATACGTCAGTATGATGAGATTATTGAGATGTTACGTTATAGAATACGTCAGTATGATGAGATTATTGAGATGTTACGTTATAGAATACGTCAGTATGATGAGATTATTGAGATGTTACGTTATAGAATACGTCAGTATGATGAGATTATTGAGATGTTACGTTATAGAATACGTCAGTATGATGAGATTATTGAGATGTTACGTTATAGAATACGTCAGTATGATGAGATTATTGAGATGTTACGTTATAGAATACGTCAGTATGATGAGATTATTGAGATGTTACGTTATAGAATACGTCAGTATGATGAGATTATTGAGATGTTACGTTATAGAATACGTCAGTATGATGAGATTATTGAGATGTTACGTTATAGAATACGTCAGTATGATGAGATTATTGAGATGTTACGTTATAGAATACGTCAGTATGATGAGATTATTGAGATGTTACGTTATAGAATACGTCAGTATGATGAGATTATTGAGATGTTACGTTATAGAATACGTCAGTATGATGAGATTATTGAGATGTTACGTTATAGAATACGTCAGTATGATGAGATTATTGAGATGTTACGTTATAGAATACGTCAGTATGATGAGATTATTGAGATGTTACGTTATAGAATACGTCAGTATGATGAGATTATTGAGATGTTACGTTATAGAATACGTCAGTATGATGAGATTATTGAGATGTTACGTTATAGAATACGTCAGTATGATGAGATTATTGAGATGTTACGTTATAGAATACGTCAGTATGATGAGATTATTGAGATGTTACGTTATAGAATACGTCAGTATGATGAGATTATTGAGATGTTACGTTATAGAATACGTCAGTATGATGAGATTATTGAGATGTTACGTTATAGAATACGTCAGTATGATGAGATTATTGAGATGTTACGTTATAGAATACGTCAGTATGATGAGATTATTGAGATGTTACGTTATAGAATACGTCAGTATGATGAGATTATTGAGATGTTACGTTATAGAATACGTCAGTATGATGAGATTATTGAGATGTTACGTTATAGAATACGTCAGTATGATGAGATTATTGAGATGTTACGTTATAGAATACGTCAGTATGATGAGATTATTGAGATGTTACGTTATAGAATACGTCAGTATGATGAGATTATTGAGATGTTACGTTATAGAATACGTCAGTATGATGAGATTATTGAGATGTTACGTTATAGAATACGTCAGTATGATGAGATTATTGAGATGTTACGTTATAGAATACGTCAGTATGATGAGATTATTGAGATGTTACGTTATAGAATACGTCAGTATGATGAGATTATTGAGATGTTACGTTATAGAATACGTCAGTATGATGAGATTATTGAGATGTTACGTTATAGAATACGTCAGTATGATGAGATTATTGAGATGTTACGTTATAGAATACGTCAGTATGATGAGATTATTGAGATGTTACGTTATAGAATACGTCAGTATGATGAGATTATTGAGATGTTACGTTATAGAATACGTCAGTATGATGAGATTATTGAGATGTTACGTTATAGAATACGTCAGTATGATGAGATTATTGAGATGTTACGTTATAGAATACGTCAGTATGATGAGATTATTGAGATGTTACGTTATAGAATACGTCAGTATGATGAGATTATTGAGATGTTACGTTATAGAATACGTCAGTATGATGAGATTATTGAGATGTTACGTTATAGAATACGTCAGTATGATGAGATTATTGAGATGTTACGTTATAGAATACGTCAGTATGATGAGATTATTGAGATGTTACGTTATAGAATACGTCAGTATGATGAGATTATTGAGATGTTACGTTATAGAATACGTCAGTATGATGAGATTATTGAGATGTTACGTTATAGAATACGTCAGTATGATGAGATTATTGAGATGTTACGTTATAGAATACGTCAGTATGATGAGATTATTGAGATGTTACGTTATAGAATACGTCAGTATGATGAGATTATTGAGATGTTACGTTATAGAATACGTCAGTATGATGAGATTATTGAGATGTTACGTTATAGAATACGTCAGTATGATGAGATTATTGAGATGTTACGTTATAGAATACGTCAGTATGATGAGATTATTGAGATGTTACGTTATAGAATACGTCAGTATGATGAGATTATTGAGATGTTACGTTATAGAATACGTCAGTATGATGAGATTATTGAGATGTTACGTTATAGAATACGTCAGTATGATGAGATTATTGAGATGTTACGTTATAGAATACGTCAGTATGATGAGATTATTGAGATGTTACGTTATAGAATACGTCAGTATGATGAGATTATTGAGATGTTACGTTATAGAATACGTCAGTATGATGAGATTATTGAGATGTTACGTTATAGAATACGTCAGTATGATGAGATTATTGAGATGTTACGTTATAGAATACGTCAGTATGATGAGATTATTGAGATGTTACGTTATAGAATACGTCAGTATGATGAGATTATTGAGATGTTACGTTATAGAATACGTCAGTATGATGAGATTATTGAGATGTTACGTTATAGAATACGTCAGTATGATGAGATTATTGAGATGTTACGTTATAGAATACGTCAGTATGATGAGATTATTGAGATGTTACGTTATAGAATACGTCAGTATGATGAGATTATTGAGATGTTACGTTATAGAATACGTCAGTATGATGAGATTATTGAGATGTTACGTTATAGAATACGTCAGTATGATGAGATTATTGAGATGTTACGTTATAGAATACGTCAGTATGATGAGATTATTGAGATGTTACGTTATAGAATACGTCAGTATGATGAGATTATTGAGATGTTACGTTATAGAATACGTCAGTATGATGAGATTATTGAGATGTTACGTTATAGAATACGTCAGTATGATGAGATTATTGAGATGTTACGTTATAGAATACGTCAGTATGATGAGATTATTGAGATGTTACGTTATAGAATACGTCAGTATGATGAGATTATTGAGATGTTACGTTATAGAATACGTCAGTATGATGAGATTATTGAGATGTTACGTTATAGAATACGTCAGTATGATGAGATTATTGAGATGTTACGTTATAGAATACGTCAGTATGATGA